GACTAGCTTTGCTCGAGTAGAATAAGTGACGAGTACTGACTAGGGATGTAAATGGGTCGGGTAGGGTACGGGTTTTGGTATACCCGTACCCAACCCGTCAATTAAAAAATGTACCCGTACCCGGTCCGCTACTCGATTACCCATTACCCGTCGGGTAATTGGGTACCCGTCGGGTAATCGGGTTACCCGAATTAGTATTTCCGGTCAAATTAGTTTGGGTTTTTTACCCGTTTACCCGAATCTCACCCGATTACCGTACGCCCGACCGTAGCCGACCCTACCCTACCCAACCCGATACTCAAATAAAACGCATGCATTTAACTTGAACAGGAACAGAAAACTCCCAAGCTCCCAACAACACTAAACAATCTCAAAGCACTACAAATGGAAAAAATAAAGGAAAACAGGTACATCACCTAATGCACCAGCAAAAATATAGAAATAACAGTAACAACAAGCTAGAGAAAATCAACACTCCAATCAAAACACCTTATAGTTCAAAACATTACATAACAATAATATGTTCCAAATAAACTACTACTTGAGGTCATATTTTCAGTTTCCACCCTCAAAATAAGCTCTTCATGTGCAAACAAATTACTGCAAAAATTAGACTACAAAAACATTATCAATGAAACAGCAGCACCAATACAAAAACAAGTAAGTGAGCTTGAAACAGTACAATATCATATCACAGGCAATAAGCAAATGAACTTGAAAAAGCATCAATTGAATCCATAACATTACATAAGTCCAATACTCAATACAATATCCATAAATTGATAAATAAATAAAAAGCACACTCAGCACATCATCTTCAGTTCTTCACTAAAATAGTAACAAGTGAGCTTGAAACATAACAGGCCTTTGTGATAATATCATACAACAGACAATATTATACAAAAATAACACCGAAATTGGGGCTAAAATTATGGCAAAAAAAATAATTTTTTGAACATTTACATCTGATTCTCAGAAATTCAGGATCCAATACCCTCAAGTTTCAACAAAAATTGAATAAAGACAAGAGGACGAATCAAAATGAGAAAAGGGGAAAAATCGAGAGACTGAGAGCTTACATAGATTGACGAAGCTGGTGGAATGGAAATATAGAATCACAAGCGAGTCCAGAGGCCGAGAGACTGAGAGCGAGGTCGAGATCGACGGAG